TCCCTGTCGCTTAAATCTCGGCCAAAGTTAAAAAATCATATTTTTCAGGCGGAAATTTCCGGAGGTCATGTGATATTCCGTAAATCGACGCCTAATTAAATTTCCTGATGAAGAATAAATCTGGGTGGTCAAAAAATTTTGGGTTTTAAGTAAAATAATTTTGTCTTCTATGAAAAACTATTTCGACTTTTTTCCTCAAAATTGTAATTTCGGGGCACCAAAATAATTTTGCGTACAAGTATAATTAAAATTATATACAGAATTAGATTTTTGCTTGATTTTCAAATATTCATCATAATTTACACCACAGTATTTATTACCAGAACATGAAAATTTCCAATGTCTCTCCATTCCTATATGATCATAATTACCTATATTTGCAGTCCATTCTCCAGTATATATTAACTGGTCACAAGAGAAACAAATTACTAATCCAATTGCAGGAGCATATGTACCTAGAGTAGGAACTAGTATCAATCCTAGCTTCAAGATATTTTTTACTTTCAGTAGGTAAAAGATCATTCTTTCTGAAATACTGTAAGCGAGGCCAAATTCGATCTAATTACTCACTGGATGTTTCATTATCACGAACTTGTGGCATTTTACAATATTCATACCATTCAGCATCAGTACAATTAGTTCCACGTAATTCACTTAAGCTAACCATTTTATACGACTTATTTATAGTGTTTATGGAAGTTATATGTAGTTTATATCGTATTTAGGAGATTTAGACCTATTAGATTTAATAACTTTATACATTATGAATATGCGATTCAATTTTTGTTGATTTCAGTTTATGCTTAAAAGATAAAGAAGTTGTTTCGATATATAAAGGTGCAGAATTGAGACTATCTACTGTTGAGAACATTGTTAATCTTTCTAACTCAGATAGAAACACTCTATTTCTTAGATCCAATGCAAAGTTATTTTCTATTTGTCAATATGCTTTGAAGAAGTACCCCTAAAGAGCCAGATTGTATAATTCCTGATCTTATACTGAGAAATACGAGACATATCTCTTTAGAGCTGTGAAGAGTTTCAGAAATTATATGTCAGAAATATTATCTGAGCTAGGTTTGAAGTATTTGACTTATTTGGCTTTTTCTGGCTTTAAGCAGTTATTGCAAAAAGGTAGGTGTTGGTATTTATATGTGTCTTGGTGTGAACTAGTTTCCAGATGACACTAACTCCATTATAAAATCAATTGTATATATATTAACTAGTTATGTACGATTACAAATGATAATTGACCAGAGCATATGAAATTAACAAATGACCTGTGATTACCACATGAATAAAAATGTATTTCAGACATATGCTTCATTCTCGGATATAAGTACCAAAACTGGTTCATAAATTGCACTGGTAAATAGTTGTGAGAATTTTAACATGAGCAGATGTCAATAACGAAGCATTTTTAACTATGATTATTAACACATAATTTTTATGTGATGTATTTATTGCAATGAGACTCTACCTTTATAATAACTTGTGTAACTTAATATCCACTAAAATAATTAAATATATGCCATAGAACGTAATGGAAATTTTCGTGCATAAGCTGATTATGCGATAAACATGTATCACGGAAGAAATTCGAAAACTATAGGAAATTCCAATGCATGTGTAACGCACCTGTGAACCAAATTCGATAAATTAACACATGGCACTTTCTTTGTAGCCCCTGAGGCGGTATACGCGTTATTTAAGGGGGAAACTACGTGTTTAAGGGTTCGCGTTTTTTAATACTTTTTCTTGCACCAAACCTATATTTTTTACTAAATTTTTTTTATAACATGTCTGACCACAATGAAAAATATCCCGGTTACGAAAAACTTACTTCATATTTGAGCCGATATGAAAATAAATCCTTCTGGGGTTTTTTGCTTTGTTGTCGAGACACAATCGTCAACATCACTTCAGCTACTGCCGCTGGTATGACCTTAACAACTCCTGGTACGAACGCTTTTTAGCAGAAGCAGAAGATCTATTAAATCCAAATGAATTTAGTAACTTGGAAAAACAGGTGTGTTTTTTTTTATTTTGCAAGGTTAGGGTAACTCCTAGTACTAAGGTCGCGGTCGCGGTTTGACTAAGGGAGAACTACTGGGTATGACTGCTTGGTATCCACTCCAAGTTCTCTATTCAGGCACCCTAACTTTGTCATTGGTAAAGGTCTGCGGATTCCGGAGGAGGAATCGGTTATGTGTCTTCCTTTTGGGGCATGCCGTTTATCATCTGAT